TTTTGGGTCAGCAGCATTCTGCAGAATACAGTTTGTAAAGCAATGTCCTAGACTGTTTCAAAGATCATTAATCTTTAAAAGTAGCTTTTAAAAGAGAACCCTTTTGAAAATGATGGAAAATAGATGTGTTTCCAACTGAAATGTGTAAAAAGGAGTAGAACTAGAACATGTGAAATTTCTGATTCTCATACTAGATTCTTCTATAAGACTTCCCAAAAGTGGCTGGGCACGGTGGTTCATGCCTGTAATCCAAGCACTCTGGGAGGCTGAGGCAGGTGGATGACCTGAGGTCAGGAGTTCAAGACCAGCCTGGCCAACACATCAAAACCCCATCTCTACTAAAAATACAAAAAGTAGCCAGGCGTGGTGGAGCACACCTGCAGTCCCAGCTACTTGGGTGGCTGAGGCAGGAGAATCCCCTGAACCTGGGAAGCAGAGGCTGCAGTGAGCCAAGATGGTGCCACTGCACTCCAGCCCAGGCAACAGAGCGAGATTCTACCATAAAAACAAAAGAAAATATAAATAATAAACAAATAAATAATAGGCTTTATTAATTAGAGAAGGATGCCCCCAAGTTCCTATACATTTCTCAATTATGTAAAACCTAAGATATGGCTAGCATTTTATCTCCTACTATTCTAAAATTTTAAACAAACATTTAAGTGGTATCATTCAGCTACGTAAAGCCAATCTTTGTAATTAAAATGTATATTACAGCTTAAAAAAAAAAAAACAACAAAACCCTACTAAAGTATCACTACCATATGAGCAAAGGTGTATTATTAAGTCATACACTTTTTATTAAATAACAGCCTTTTACAGGATATTTCTTTTCAAGAAAATCATACTATTTGGGCATAAGACTAATGTTTATCATAATTGTTTTAAATTAGCATTAAGCAGAGAATTTAGTTCTGCTTAATGCTAATTTAAAACAGGACCAGATTTCCTCCTCCTGCCTTAAGGTCTGGGACTTAGGCAATGAAGGACAGTGATCCCTGAGAGTGGGGGAAACAAACCGGGTGAGCCCTATTTTTATTACCCTGGCTTACTGCTTTGACTGACAGAGTTTCAAGGGTGCTGTGCAGGAAGGGGAAAACCAGGTTGAGCCAAGTGGACTCCCTGAGTTCAGGAGAAGGAGCTGAGAGTCCAAGGTGATCAAAGAGGCTAGACTTCACAGGATAGATGCCAGAGAAGAAAGAAAAATACAGAATAAGGAATCTGGAGCTGTGCAGTGTTCCCTTGAGTACTTAGTTTTGTACTGATCAGTGTATGCAGGTGAGGAAACTACCCAAGGCCGTGGAAAGAACCACCAGAAAGGGTTAAGGGGAACAATGCACAGCACTGGTACAGGGCTGGAAATAGTCTCTTCTACCAGCCAGCCTGGAAAATGTCATGATTCATGTGCACTGAATAGAGTACCTAGAAGGATCCCGCTTCAGCAAATGGGGAATAATTAGCCCTGGTCTAAACACTTTCTGGATTGGGTCTAACAAAAACTCAAAAGGTTAGAACCGTTTGCAAGTAACTTAACTGCATCCCAGAAGAAAGTTCCAGAATATAGGAACAGAAAAACGGAAAGAGGCAAAAGGACACTTTTAAGCATGGCTCTGTTGAGTATCTTGATTGTGGTGATGGTTTCACAGGTATATACAAACATTAAAACGTATTAAATTGTAAACCTTAAATATGTACCATTTATTCTATGTCAATTTCATGTAAAAACAGTTAAAAACCAGCATTAAGACTACATGTTAATAGTCTTGAATATTTAACAACTTTGATTTTGCATTTCTTTTACTATTTTTCCTGCAAAATATGCCTAAATTCTCATTTTTTCTAATCTTGTTTGACCGATCTTTATAGAAGTAAAGTCTTAAAAATGAAAAATTCTGTATCTAAGTGATTTTAATATCTGTAGTTAAAATTTCTATTATAAAATACAAAACTTCAAAAAGTACTCCTTATAATATAGGATATTTTTTAAAAGCCATTTAAGGCTGGGCATTGTGATTTACGCCTGTATGACTATGATCAGCACTTTGGGAGGCCGAGGTGGGCGGATCACCTGAGGTGAGGAGTTTAAGACCAGCCTGGCCAGATAGTGAAACCCTGTCTCTTCTAAAAATACAAAAATCATCTGGGTGTGGTGGTACGCCCCTGTAATGCCAGTTACTTGAAAGGTTGAGGCAGGAGAATCGCCTGAACCTGGTAGGTAAAAGTTGCAATGAGCTGAGATTGTGTCACTGCACTCCAGCCTGGGCAGCAGAGTGAGACTCCATCTCAAAAAAAAAAAAAAGCTATTTAAAGTCTTGCCATATAATTCAAAGCATATCTAAAATTTTAAACAAACAATATACAATATATCATACATAAAACAGACAACCAATTATGAAAACAAAAACAATGCTAAAAAGCTAAGATAAAAATAGAACACACATCTTAGTTTTTACACATTCATACAGAATGGTACTGGACACTGTAGGAAGTAGATGATCAG